GCTGGACTTGGAGTGAGGCCCTGGGCTTACACATCAATACTTTATTTACAGCAAGAAAAATCCGATAAAATACCACCCTTTCCAGCAACTAGGAAAGGTTTTCTCAACTCCTGGTCGCATTTGGATGTGTTCTGTGTTCTCAGTCATATGAATTCTCTAATATAACCTATGAAATTATATGCATATTCTTGGAAATTGTATTCCATATAAATAAAACCCTACTAGGCACATGCCATTAAAAAAAAACTCATTGATTTATATTAAAAAATGAAAGACAAAGTTCATTTTGCAAGTTTTTAAAAAATCTTAGTTAATTGTCAGTTTTCCCCTCATATTAAGAGTTCAACTCTTAAATAAAAATCAATTGCTCCAGGAAAGTACTCTTGGAACTCAGAAATGAATCTCTTTGAGCTTAAAACCACATGCTAGTTTGTAGGGTGGAATCACAGTATTGTTTTTTAGTGGAGAGGAGCCTATACTTTATTCATTAAGACCAAAAAGCCTCTATCTCATTTAAGGCCAGTGTACATGTAAAATGGTTTAACCATTACTATTATCAATGATGGAAGTTTACACTAGACAGTGTGGCACTCACTCAGTGGGTTGAAATGTGGAATGTGGGTGTCTGCTAAAAAAAAGAACTATGTTATAATCCTTGGAATACAAGGTCAGTAGGCAAGAAGAAAATGTTGATTTTGGTGAGAACTACTAGAGAAAAGGCAATAATTTCTTCTCTATTGTTTGTGCATTTTCACCAGAATACAAAGTTGATACAACTTTTTTTCAGTCATTATCAGGATTATCAAACATCCAAGAAAAAATAAAAATGGCAGATTTTAGCATTCACTTGTCATCTTTTAGATGAACAATAAACATTACTCCTTGATTTTATAGTTAATGGTAGCTCTATTTCTACCAAACCTCAAGAGCAAGAATTTCTACATCCTTGAGAACATAGAACAGAGAATCTTATTAAGAAGCTCTCCATCGTAGCAATAAACAATTTCAACTGATAAAGGAAATCCTGTGAATAACTACTTCCCTCAGGCACAAACTGGCCATCTTTCACATTCATGGAAAATTGGCTGAAGTTTATGCTTTAAGTTGTTTTAGAAACAACTGGTTGGAATTTACTAATTATCAGCTGATTGAATTAAAATATTTCTTAAATATGTGTGGTTCTGATCTTCAAAATCAGTGTAAAATCATAAGGCATGAATAAACCTTATAAATGTCTCATCATTGTTTTTTTTATTTAGGTTTAGCACTTGTTATATTTCCTTATCAATGTAACTTTTGTGCTTGTGTTATTGAACAAGAATTATTTTCTCCTTTCTCTCCTAAAAATACTGATTTTCCATTCTACATCTGATCTCAAATGTTGTCCTTTTCCTCTTCCTTTTTTTTTAAATTAAGATTTGTATTGGAAGCAGTATTTTAAAATTAACAATCAATTGGCATGCCTTCATGGTCAAAGTATTCTAGGAAAACCTGCTTTGTTGAATGATGATGGCACCTCATCAAATGCTTATATAGGAAAATCTTATTTAATGTAGTGAATATCGTATTTCATTAATTATAAGAATAGCAAGCACATTACGTTATGTTCTGATGGCCAAAGTAACAGTCTCCTGTGTTCATGTTTTTCATCTTTTAAAATGTATTTCCAGTAGAACAGAACATTCTGTGTGCAGGGTAAACATTCTTACTGATCTAAGGAGAATGTTTTTAAAAAACAGACTCCCTACCAGTGAGTTAGTGCCCACTCAGAACCACCCTTTAGGAGAGGGTAGAACCGCCCCTGTGAGTTTGGGAGACTGTAACTCTTCATGGGAACAGAAAGCCTTCTTTCTCCCAGGGAGAGTGCTACGAAGAAAGAAATGGCTCTTCTTTGTGCTGAAGCCTAATGGAAAAAACCAGACCACAGGTAGTCTGGGTTCTAGACCTGACGAAGCCACTTCCTTGTGGGTGACTTTAGGCAACTCTCTTTACCCCTCTATGCTGCCCACCAACAAGGATATGAAGGAGCCAAATCTTATTTTTGGCTATATAGTTTTTGGCAAAACTGTATTTGTAAAAGTATTTTGAAAAGTAATTTCAATGTCTATAGCTTGCTAATTTCAATTTGGCACAAGAGAACATTTTTTGTGCAAAACAGAAGGTAGTGTCTTGCTAGTTAACAATTCCAAACCCACTGCCATTGAGCCCATTCCAAACTGTGTCATAAGAAAGAGTAGAATGGCTCCTTTTTGCTTTCCAATCTCTTTTGCTTTCCCATCTCGATGGGAACAGAAAGCCTCGTCTTTCTCCCAAGGGGCTACTAGTTTCAAACTGCTGACCTTGCAGTTATCAGTTTAAGGTGTAATACACTGCACCACCAAGGCTTTTTAGTTTACAATTACCCACACAAAAATCTGCTACCCCCACTTTGTGTACTCTGCTAGCTTCCCCTAGAGCACAGGAATGTAATCTGAGAGGCCTGTGAGTGAGCCCCATCCATATGGGGCCAGAGGGGAGACTTAGTAGAATTAAGCTCAGGATTTAGAGTATCATACAAAAATGTATTCAGATATTAAACAATAAAAAATATATTTTGTTTTACACATTACAAATGAAAATGATAGCTGATATGATGTATCAAATTATCCATCATTAGGACTTTGAAATGGCAAATTATTTTTTCCAGTATATGCCACAAAACAATGTTGCTAACTGGAATTTCCATCAAATCAAAATTTGCATAAAGTCAGAGAAAAGGATAACAGTCACCTGTTACCTGGTAATAAAAATAAAGCAGAGGCAACATTGTTTTTAGTATTAATACAACAAATTGCACTGCCCTTGTCTAATAAAATCAAGGGACTTTTCAAAGGGTGTGAATGCATAGTCTACTATATGCTAGTCCTATATTTAAAATGAAAAATTTCTTAGAATATGTGTTCAATTGCCTTCATGAGCTGCCTCCTTTATCATGAGACCAGGAGAAATGGCTACCGTTTTGGTTGCTTTGATCAAAGAGTTGATAGAAGAAATCCTTTATCAAAAGGGGGAAATGGAGAACAGAATCTCAGAATCTCATGGAATGTAGACTTTCTGGAGACTTGAGGCTAGCTGACCTCACCCTCACCCCAACAATTATTGCCCTGAGATAAATTCTGAACCTTAAACTGAAACTATCCTTAGAGAGTCATCTTCAAGCCAAATATTATTTAACCTTCCTTGGAAAAGAATACCTGCCTTGAGTATTGTGTGTTTTTAAAGACTTATCTATACATGA